TGTTTTTATATAATAGAGCTAGGATCAAAACATTCAAAAACAATGATGTGTAAAAGGGCGCTCCTATAGTAATGAACCCTTTAGCTAAATATGTCTCTTTTCATAAGCTCATTGCTTGAGTTTAATGATTTTAGTGGGAAATGCTCTTAAATCTTAAATTAAGCAGTTCAGTATTTCCCTCCAACCCAGTCTCACGGCATTTCGTGTTATAGTCACGACATTTAATATATTGATTCGTGTTCACCAACACGATTTTCCCCTTTTTTTTCGTGTCACACAGAACGATTTTAAAAACGGAGCTAAAAGAGTGAACACAGTGAATAACCCTTATAGACTTCAGGTAATCAGAATTATGTTGCTTCATACTTACCTGATGTTTCAATAATCAATTGTTTGCTAACCAATTTCTAAGCCATTTTAACACAAAAGGTGCCGATTTAGCAGCTTTGTTTATGTTTTTTTTCCACTGTTAAAAACATTTATATGCAGGTTTAAGTAGATCAGGAACTTCCTTGCACAAAGTCATAACATTTTGCTGGCTGAATAAGATAACCTTATTTGCTCTCACAGCTGCAGGAAACAAGTTATACTGTATTTAGCCATTCCATAGCTACACTTTTAAACGAGCTCGGGGATTTAGTGTGGTTTAAAATTGAATCTAGTGTTAATAATAATGCTGCATTTTGGTCTCAAAGAATAGCTCTCTGATTCTGCCCTGCACAGAAATATATGGTAAAATAATGAATGACAAAAATGAATGTTAAAGACACTTGATTTTATTAGATTTCATTTGTATTTCCCTTTCGTGCACAGTAACCTACGTAATCCTGCTGTATAAACATTTTTACATCTTCCCAACAGCACCTGCTTCATTCATGGAGGACATTTCTCTCTTGGACTTGCTTCTCCCAGGAGATCTCACGTTCTCTCACATGTGCTAAGGTTTTTAGAGGGACATTATTTTCCTTGTCGTGTAGGGCTGGTTCGTGAACTGCTGATGCTGCCCATGAAGCCCACTGAGACATATGTGTGATATTCAGGCTATATATAGAGAGGATAATGACACCTTCCTTGTTCAAAGTAACTTCCTGTAAAATAATCGGGCCCTCTCCGTATGGCTTTTAAGACGTCATCGTTTAGTGGAGAGTTTTTTCCCACAGTGAGTCCTGACCAGTCGAGCAGCCTCCATTCACCTTGATCCCAGCCTGCCTGGGAAGCCTCATTATCCTCCCTGTATCCTTCCTGGAAGCCTCTGCTGATCCGTAAATGCCACAAGTTCCACTCCCTGCTGTCTGTGGGAGCCCTCGCCAGAAAGGAGAGGAGAGGAGAAGGATGATAGGACTCTTTCTTTCCTTCTTTGCCACCCTTATGAGCAGAGAGCTTGATGTTGGCCCTCCACTTTAAGGCGTATGCTGTGAGTCAAATTAGACCAATTGAAGTCTTACAGCTCAGTAAAACCGCTCCAGTGACATAATTAATAAGACTGTCAATTGTCCAAAGGCTTCGCTACGTTACGGCACTTTAAAGGAGCGCACGCTCTTTCAGCAGGCGTTTTCCTAAGTTGTATTTGTTTAGAGTGGCAACCCCCAAACTCTCATTACACGGTGCTGCTTTGTCACCACAATGTTAACAAGAGAAATTGCTGCAGTTCTGAACTGAAGCATTATTCCTGTCTTGCCTCTGCCACCGGGGACAGCTTATGAATTAATGAGATGTCAGCAGAGATGTTGTGTCTTTATCCACTCAATCTCTCCAAGAGAAAAAAACAGCCACCGTGGAGGAAGTGATATAACGTAGCAACATGATTCTTGTCTGTCTCTAGTGGCTTGACTCACGGGGCCTCATCTTTAAAAAAGCTCTCTCCTTCTGTTTTGTTATGGCAGATTTACATCCTCCATTACACGACAACAGGAATAAATCAGTGGATTCCACTTACTTTGGTAACGGAATCAAATAAATCAGACAGTGTGTAACTGTGTGGTTGTTTGGGGATTGCATCTCTTTCTTTCTATTTGGTTAACCTTCATAAGTCCATAATAGACCTGCTGTGTTTGCTCTTTACCCAATGTTAGGCTATTTAACATCTTCCAGTGACTTTCTTAGTTTAAACAGTTACGGTTTTATGGCTGATATTTAACAAGAATATATGGTCAACAAAAGTTTGACATTTTGAAAAATAGGCATATTTGAGAGCTTAAGAGCTAGATTAGAATATTGATTGGTACTTCTCATTATCTGTTTGCTGAATATGAAGCTCCAGCCATAAGTAAGCTTAGAAGGTAAGCTGCCTACAAGCACTGCTAAAGATCCTTCAACATGTTCAACTAAATAGAAATGAGAAATTGGAGGATGAAACCCTCTTTAATGGTCACACATGTTCATGCAGACAGCACACAGTGACATGTTGTCTCTGCTTTTTACCCATAGTACTATGTCATGTTTTATGTTTTATATATAATGTAAAATACAATATTTAATTTGTTGTATTTATCTTTAGCTTGATCTTTCTGTCTTAAATATATCAAGCTTAAGGCTGCCTGGATCTATTGTAGTCCATCTGCTTTGGCACAAATGCATTTGTACTGCACAACATGACTCTGAATGTAGAAAGCAGACCTCGTGATTAGAACTGTGTGTCCATTGTCTGTATGAGGCAGGATTAACAACAGTGGGTGAAGAAGCACTCAGATCTTTAAAGAGGCCCTATTATGCTTTCTGGGGTTTTCCCTCTCCTGTGTTGTATAGGATGTTGTGCATGTAAAGTTAAAGAAAAACTCCTTTCGTTGAGATTTAGATGCTTAAAGTTGAGATGCCAGTTGTAGTTAATCAAAGTAGTTTCAACATGTCATGATCCTGATGGGATTGTCTTGTTTACTTCCTGTCTGTGTTTTCCCGCTTTTTGTGATTGTCCGCCCTGATTCTATCCACCTGTGTCTGAGTGCCTGCTGCCCTTGTGTCTTTGCCCTCTCCACCTGTGTCAGTGTGATTAGTCCTGTGTGTATACAGTGTATGCCTGTCTACCTGTTTGTTCTCTGTGGGTTTGTGGTCGATTTTCCCTTGCTGTGTTCTGCTTGCCATAGTTCCTGGTTTCCTGTCTCTGTCTGAATCTTGATTTTTCTTGTGTGGCCTCCTGCTTTTGCTTCTCGTGTTCGTCAAGTCTTTTTTGGTTTGTTCCTCGTTTTGTTTTGCTGTTTTCCTTTTGTTTTTTTGGACAAGCTTTATTCTAATTAAGCTCGCTTTTTGTTATAAGTACCAGCCTCCTTCTTTGTATCGGTGTGGGTTCTGCCCTCCTTACCCACCCTGTGACACTATCCTGTTTGAACCAAACAAACTCCACTTCAAGGTCCACCTTAAGAGGACATAAAGCAGTTGAAGTGTAAATAAAGTCTACCTGTTCAAGCTTTAGACAAAAGAGACATGAAAAAGAAAGCCTTCAAGGACCTACGTCTTAATCTTTCCCCAGAAATATTTCAGTCAAGGCTCAATGCATTTATTCATAAGCAGAACACGCAGGAGTTGCACCTCTTTAGATTAATCAGAATGGGAATAAGACAAAATGTTGTGTGTATGAGCAGAAATTACTCAGCACGACATGACGTGATTAACATTTAAGATTTTTTCTTAATGAGGAAAATACGTGTTGAAAAACAAAGATAACTTCAGCTCATCGTGAGGAGCATTTCTGAAATGTTTCATGGTAAAACAAAAAAGGTAGGTCTAATAGCAGAAGATCCAATCGTGTTATTCTGATTCAGAAATGTGTCTTACTCTGACGCTTGAATAAGGTATCTTCATTATTGAAATGTTTGCTGCTACAGCAACAGGTCTGAGTGAACAACTAAAAGTCAAACTTAAAGAGCTGCAGTTTTACGTTAAGCTCTTGAACTTGGCCATTGAAAGGCCGCTATGACAAAGCATTTTTTCCTCTGTGAGCCTCGCTGTGTTTAGTGCAGGCACTGTATCTCACAGCAGCAACAACAAAGCAGTGAGTGAGTTATCTTCTGCAGTCAGCTAAAAAAGAGACAACACACACACACACACACACACACACACACACACACACACACACACACACACACACACTTTCTGTTCTCAAGTGCCCTCTTTGTGACCTTCACTGCCTTCCTTGTCTTTCTGTCAGATGCCCCTTGTTTAAAAAGGTTGTAACTCTCATGCACTCGCTCTACATCACATGTTCCCATGCACATAACCAAAGCCAGGAATCCACTGTGACATTAAGTATCACAATTTTATTACAAAAATTAAATTCTTCATCTCTCAGTTTTGCCATGCTTGGAGCATATAACAATACAGTAAAAAACCCGGACCCAGAGAAGATAGTAAAGCAGATTTCAACAATGCTTTCACAGCACTCGTCATTCATGCTGTTACTATACACACACTGTAACATTCCTTATACAGAGTAGTACAAACACCTGCCAAAACACGTCATGTCAGATAACAAACTGTAATCAAATTACATTTACCAGAGAAACAGGAAACTCAACCCAGCTCAGAAAGGAAAACAGAAACCAATAAAACATTGAATTTGCAACTGAGAACATATTGAATGTGCTGAAGATTTGAACCAGCCCAAGGCACCCAGGCTTTGTAGCAATGTTGGCAAGTTTAACGACATTCTTACAGAAACACTTGAAGCGAACAACGACTACAAATTGACTTGTACCAGAGTCTGACTTTGCAGTGTCCTTCAACATACCCTCCTTCTCCTGGAGTCAGTCACAGTGCAAGTTCCGGAGGGGGCGGGGCCAGTGAAGGAGAAAGGGGGGTCGGGGGTTAGGGTCAGAGAGGGGTTCGCAGGGTGCTGTACCGCACCAGACATCACTTCACAGCGCCAAACACTGACAAGAATTGGATGGACAGCGTAATCTCCCACTTTCCGGAGGGAAGTAGGAGAGGGGGGGGGGGGGGGGGGGGGGGGGGGGGGGGGGGGGGGGGGGGGGGGGGGGGGGGGGGGGGGGGGGGGGGGTGGGGGGGGGGGGGGGGGGGGCGGACGGTTTATGTAATTCCTCTCTTGGATTGTGAATTGTCCGAACATAAGGCGCAGATTGCCAGCTGCCAGTCCAAGTCAGCCAAACGAAAAAGCTTAGGTGTGCTTTCAACTGAACGCCCAAGAAAAAAAGGAGGAACAAAAACCTTCTCACCGAGGCTTCCAAGACGATATTTTTTTTCCTCAAGATGAAAAGTGCACATAAATACCTAAGAATGATAGAAATCCCAGATTTAAGCTTACCAATATAACTGAAATAGTCTCTAACGAATGTCAAATGAAGACAAGAATGACAAAAGCTCAGAAATACAGAGAGGCCTCTCTTGCAGTTCAGTTGAGCGAATGGCACGGCTCGAAGGTCCATTTGGTCGTGCCGCCAAATATTTCGATGTTGCTCTCCGTCCAGGAGAACACGTTGCCGGCCGGTGCTTTGCTGTTGCAGGTCGCCAAGTTGTAGATCTCGGCGATGGAAAGTTTCCTATTCCAGATATTTAGGTTTGCTAGTTCACCAACATAAGCTTGCGTCGCATCAAAGCCTCCGCCCAACGTGTCCTGTGGAGCAACGCAGACAAGTGTTAGTCATCAAAGATACAGTTCAAGTGTTATCTGGTCGGAGAACTGGAGAAAAACTTTTGATCCAGAAAAAAAACCCGATATTGATGCGCATTTGAGCACATATGAAAGATTTACCAATCAGGGGGTCATTTGTTCTATTTCCAGACCCTGCAGTCATGTCCTTGGGTATAAATAAATACATAAAGGGGCCCTATTATGCTAATTTTCAGGTTCATATTTGTATAATAGGGACCCTTTTACCCCAAATTGCTCACGTAGGAATGTCTACAGTATAGAGGTCTATGTACGTGGATTTGGATAAAACAACATGAGATGATTGAGGATTTATCTAAGCAGTGTCATTGGCCAAATGCTCTCTTTATATTGGATATTTCTTCCACAGTGCAACAAGCTAATTTCTGTGTAAAATCTGAAATGTTTCCTTGTCAAACTGCAGGCCAAATTCATGAAGCACTTTTATTTTTGCCAATCCAGGGATGATAAATTACAAACTAATTTTATTGGAAAGCCTTAATTTGCCACCTCTTCAATTTCCAACCAATCTAATTTCCTTCATGAATATTCCTAAATTAAATAGATAACTGTGCAGAATCACTGATTTGAAAATGAATTCACACCTGCTCTTGTCCCAGGACCAGCACCCCCTCTGGTTTGATGGGGTGGTACGGTGCCAGGTTTTCTCCACTTCCCCGCATCACCCCGTCCTGGAAGGCTTCCCACATCCCGTCCCGGGTGGTCCACGTGATGCACAGGTGATGCCATTTCCCGTCGTTGATGAGGAACGGCAGCTTTGCAACCTGCAGCAGAGACACAAAATCATATATTTGTCTCTCGTGAACAATTGTCTCTTTCACACTTTAGTTGCAGAGTCACACTCCGCCTGAAAAACCTGTCGCTTCCACACCTTCTCCTCTTCCTGCTGAATCACTTCCCATCTGAAAAAAAATCCCCGCTGTTGCTCACATGAACACCTATTTTTAACCCATTTCCATTTCTGGAACAGGGGAAGCTGTCATCGAAGCACAAAGTATTATAACTTGTTCCTATTGTTGCACTGTCCATATCCATTAATATATACCTACATTTATATATTCAAACATTCGACTTGTCCTTTTCATGTTAGGAATCATTTGGTCTTAGGTCATTGCCAAGTCACATCAGCCAGATTGTGAAGGACGTCCTTCTTAATCTTTGGGCGGGTATTGCTTCTGCTTTTGGAGTGCAGACATTTTATGACTACTGGCAGATATGTCCTATAGGATGAGTTAAATATGCATGGCAGGGACAATTTCAGAAATGACTGTGTTCTGTTTTGTAGTGACATTGTTTGCCCCTTAGCCTTTAAAATAAACATCCAGTGTTGTAGGACATTAGTTCCAGTGTTCCAGCATCTTCATTTTTTCCCCCAGTCTCCAAAAACGATCTCCATCACAAACATGATACAAGTAAATGCAAAAACCCCGACAACGACATCCTGCAGAATTGTATAAAATAATGTTGTTCTCTTATGATCACTTTTCCCTTACCTTGTCATTGATGAGGATCTCCATGGGGTTGTTCCCCCACTCAATCAGCACCAGCTCGTTGGTCTGGCCTGGCACGGCGTAGGAGAAGGGCGTCCCCACCCCGGGGGAGGCGTTGGACTTGATCCACAGACACACGCTGAAGGAGTACATCTCAGGGAGGCTCCTCTTGGCTTTGGCGTACATGTAGTTGGTTCTCAGGGGGAAGGTGAGCTGAAACTTATCTGTGGGCCTGGTTTCTTTACCTGTGGATGAGATGACAGGAATTTATTATAGATTAGGGCTGCAACTATATCATTTCCATATATGATGAATCTGTTCAGCAATAGTTCAAATCAGCTCCACCGTGACCAACCTTATGTTATTTCTATAGGGAGACTGGGGATGGTTGTAACACTTTTTACTTTTCTCTCAGTTACTCAGAGACTATTTGGTCCAGACCATTCACATTTGTATATATTAAACTAATTAGCCAAATCATTTAAAGATGATTACATATGACATTTGTTTACAATATATACTGAAAAGAAAAAAGTTCGATTATTTTCTTGATTTATCGATAAATTGTTTGCCTTATGAAATGCCAGAAAATGGTATTCACTGGTATTTAGGAGCAAAGAAAAGCATTAAATATTCATATTTAAGTAGAAAATGACTCAAAACAATTAGTCCATTATTTAAGTTGGAAATTACTTTGATATATAACCAAACAGCATATTATTGCAGCCCTACCAGAGAGGGCAGACTTTTGTTAATGAGAACATATTTTTAACGTATGTGAAATCATGGTTAAGATTATAGGATTTATATGATTAAAGTAATGTCAGTTGAGGAAAGATTCGAAAGACCCTACAACCCTAAAATGTTTTTGTTTTTCCTCCAAAATCGTAAAAATACCTATACTCCGGAGTCCGGATTAAATATGATACACCCTTCTGACTATGATTTGCTGTCGTATGCCTCTATCTCCCCCGTCTCTCGCGCATTTGCTATCAGTGTTGAGACGCTGTACCAGTCGCGATATAATTATCGTCCAAAACTCGCCAGTGAGAGGCAAACTTTCCAGCCGGCTCTGACCTCTGCACAGCGGGGAGCTGGGTGTTCAGGTTTAGGGCTTTGGAAACAGAAACTCAGCGAAGCATGAGCTCTAACAGGTCCTGAGATATGCAAAGCATTGCAGCTCTCCTCTCCTCCTTCACACTGTGCGCAGCGAGATGCGGCACTGTGAACGCGTCAACATGACTGGTGCTGTAATACTGATTTCTCACACGTCCTTGCTGTTTTAAAACCATTAAATGACACCTGATCTTGTTTAGAACTCCTCAATGTTTGGAAACCTTTGTACGCGCGCAATACATCCGTTCACCCTGAGAATCCAAACGCACCTTTCTCCAGGTCTGTGATGCGGTGGTGCAGAGTGGTAAGCGTGGACTCCACTCTGTTCCGCTGGTCGGTCTCGTTCCTGACGGTCGGTTTGGTCTCCTCTATCGTGTTGACCCGGGACAGAACCTGCTTCTCCATATCGTCTATCTTGTTCTGGAGCAGGTCTTTGAGGCTGTTCGCCTGCGCGGTGTTGTTCCCTCGGCTGTATTGCTGCATCGGACACAGGGAGACACACTGGGTTAAAGGGGGCACGGGGAATACTTTTGTTAAACTCCCTCAAAGATGGTCCTTTTTACTCTTTGTGAAGCTCCTAGTCTGATTATGTTTGTATGTGCGCCAAATTACTCAAAAATGCGACTTAACTTTACATAATGCTTCTCACTGACTGTCATTTAAACACTAAAACACATGTGGCTCCAAGCAAACAATATTGCAGCAGTGAATTAGAGGCTCAACCCTATTTTCCTATTAATTACCAGGAGGGTCATCTAATTCCCTTTTCGCTCCTCTCCTCACCTCTAGATTCTCCAGTCTCTGTTTGAGCGTCTGTAAAGTCTGCCCCAGCTGGGCCAGGGTGTCCGTGGTGCCCCGGGATACATCCCCCATCGTGTTCTTCACCCCGGGCCGCCTCCCGCCGGGTCCCGCCGCCGGGAGGCTCTGGCTCTCGCAGCGGCTCAACTTGGACGTTAGTTCCCTGATTGTCTCCTTCTGGTTCATGATGGTCTCCTTCTGCTGCAGCACGGTCTCCCGCAGCTGCATGACCGTGGTCTTCAGGTCCTCCGCCGGCCCGCTGTTCTGCATCGTGGCCGCGCACAAGTCCATATCCTTGGGCACCGACGTGCAAATAAACTGCGTCTGTCCGAAGTCTTGCGCCGAGCTCTGCACAACAACCAGGCAAGAAAGTAGAAAAAGTTTCCACGTGAATCCGTCCATGGTTCCAGTCATGTTGCAGAGAGTATGTGAGAGAGTTCAGCACCACGGAACTGTCCACTGGAGCTGTGAGCTCTGCCGGCTGTGTGCACTTTATATAGCGGACATAAGGCAGCGTAGACACCGCATCAGGGAGGGAGAGGCAGGGCGGCTCTGCCCACAGTCCAGCACCTTATTTAAGGTCGTCCGCAGTGTTTGCGCAGCAGCCACTTTACAGTAGCAGAGAGAATACGCTGTGGCTGTGTAGTGAAATGGAAGTGTGAAGGCAAATAAACCTGATGTAGACAGATATGACGTCATTATATCCTTCATCTTGCTCTTTCATTGATGGAGAGGCGTTTAAAGTTGTCTTAATTAATCATCTTTAAATGGTTTAAGTAATAATCAGACAGATGTCAGTTCAATACATAATAATTTGGTCGGTTTAGACCAAAGGGTCTCTTCATAACCAAGAAATATGCAAAAAGTGTTGAACCTGTTACCCCTGATCTTATCTTAAATTAAAGATGCTTACAGAACTGTCAGCAAAATGTACTTAAAAATAGCATTACAGTTCCTTAAATTGGGGACAGTGGAGTACATTTGACTAATTTAACAAATGTAACCGCAAAAAGGTTTCGTTTAAAAGTAACTTCTGTTTATTAGATTCTTAAAAGTCGTACTTTGCTCAAAACACTGATTATAATTTCAATTTGTGGTATCTTGGAGCACAAGGTAATACAAGAAAAGTTGATTTTGGATATAAAATTACCTACATTATGTTCCCCCATTCTTTATGATAGGTTACAATAAAAATGTAATGAAGGACTCCAAACAAAAAATACCTGATAAAAAGATTGATATTGTTACTGAACATTGCAAAATATTCTTAAAGCTGATCCCCCTTTTTGAGAATAAGTTACACAAGTATTTGAAATAGTGAGTTACTAATTTATTAAATCATAATCAACAAGCTATTTGTGATATAGAGAACAGCATATATTTTTAAAGAATGAAACAACACTTTTTTTTGTGCTATGATTGATAAATGTATTTAGTCAATCAAATTCAAGCGTGTGGCAGGGACCATCATGTGACGAAATGATCGATCCACCTTAAATAAATCGGTTTCCCATCTTCTACAGGAGCCTGTCCCACGGTAGGAGTACCCCCACCCCCACCAACCCCCCCCCCCCCTCTCTTTCTCTCGCTTTTTCTCTCGCACGCGCTGACACCACGCATTATCTTCGCGCCAAAAAATGCACAACGGGACAAACTACGACTCCAAAAGCACGTTGTCGATTGTATTTTTCTTTGAATGACCTACTGAGAAACCGTTGTTTTTCCCTTTTAGATGTACATACTGTACGTGTGTTATCTTCCTCTGAGTTCACCAGTTTGAGATAGAGCTGTTAAATGTCGAAGAAGAAGACGAAGACGAAGAAGAAGAAGATTTTTAAAACAACTTTATTTGCGTTTTTTTTTTAACAATACACTTCTTCAAGAAGAAGAAGAAGAAGAAGAAGAAGAAGAAGAAGAAGAAGAAGAAGAAGAAGAAGAAGAAATGTGTAGCAGTGATAGCAGTAGAGATGCTTTGTAGCTAACTATACAAAAGAACCCCACCACTACAAGAGACAGGCGCTGAAATAATATTCAATATTCTTATGTAACTCCCACCGCGACTCTCACATGAATAAATAAGATGCACAGCGATGGAAGGGAGAGGGGGGGGGGGGGGCAACGCTCTTCCTTAGATCATGTTGGGATAACAAATCAGCCATGATGGCCGTGACGTAGGAAGGAGCGACTCAGCTGCGTGGAAACTGCTTCAAGGAAAGTGAACTTCACATGAAATTCAGCTGGATTTCTACCATTTTGCAGGGTAATCTTCTTCACAATAACAAACCTCAGAGAAAAGTTTCCCAAAAATCTATATTAGAAAAGAAACGTCCTATTTCTGCAACAGGTTGTTTCTTTGACCGTCTTTCTTTTTGTTGAATACTTGATAAGTTTACTTCTTCAAGACTGTCAAGACTGCTAAATTAAGCAATGAGAGAAAACAGCACTCCATTGCTCCTATCACCTGTGACAAAGGGTCAATAGATTTAAAGGGTAACACAGAATAAAATCACTATATAAACTACTTCTTCGAAGGTCCATTATTACAGAAAGCGTTATTTCCATGCATTTTTGCATTATAAAGCGGGTTGAAGGGGTATATAATTTTTGATAATATCCAAATATATAAATCAATTTTTTCAGGAGAGCGCTTAAAGAGACAGGCGCTAAAACGGAGCATTTCAGACCAATGGTGAACATGGGTGTTTTTCAGTCAGAACGTATTAGAAAAATGGTGTGTTCTTTGAACATTAGAGCACATAAAAAGGTACTAGTAGAGACCCAAAATGCAAATATGAATCTGAAAATGAGCCAAATATGTCACCTTTAATCTGCAATCTGCCACCCCTCCACGACCTGCATGCCTCCAGGACCCTGAGGCGGGCAGGGAAGATAGTGGCCGACCCCTCCCACCCCGGACACGAACTGTTCGCCCCCCTCCCCTCTGGCAGGAGGCTGCGCTCCATCGGGACCAAAACCTCACGCCACCTGAACAGTTTCTTCCCCTCCGCTACCGGCCTCTTAAAGGGGACCTATCATGCAAAATGCACTTTTGTACGTCTTTTATACATGAATATGTGTCCCCGGTGTTCCAGGGAACTCACCAAGTGTCAGAAAACACAACCCTCTCTATTTTCCTCCATACCCAAATCTCTAAAAAAGGGGCTGCAACGGATCTGATAAAAACTGATCCAGATTTGAACACTGTCCTGACGTCAGGACGGTGGCGCTACGGCTATTGGGCCAACTCCACCAATCAGGAGGAGACAGCCACGGCCATTGCCGTTCGAAAGCGCTGGAGACGTTGTAGTACACATGCCAGGCCTGTAAGTGGCGCTGTAGTCTGCCACAAAAGCAGCGAAGAAGACTTGGTTACCATGGTTACCCTTCTGTTTATTCTCCGCTGTGGCTTTCTTTCTCCCTCCCCGAGGCAAGCGTTTGCTCCCGCTGCTTTAATTCAATGCAATCCCTCCCCGTCGAGGCAAGCACTGTAATTCTCTCCGGTTAGTCCACCAGCAGATGACACACACCCACCTCTCCGCCTCTTCCAAGGAACGAGGGGACCGTGCGGCAGAGTTTCAGTTTCAGTTTGTTTCGCCGGTCAAGATGTCCGTTAAAGTTTAAATCTTCCGGACAAAATTAGAAAAGTGCCGGTCAAAGGTCTTCTTTGTTATTTATTGAGCTTAAAACAAATGAATAACGACTCTATATAATAAAACACGAGGACGGAGATCTCTTTTTCTCCCCCTCTTCTGACAGCCCAGCAGCTGATCAGAGCACGTCTCCCCTCTCCTGCAGGGGGGCGTGGTCAGCAGAATCAGACCCATAGACAGCAAACAGCACATAGAGCGAAATGAGGCATGGCTAAAATGCATGATCTGTTTGGTATTTTGAAAACAGAAACGTATAAATATACCTTATATAGGTATGGCCCTACAATATATCATTTAAATATAGCATGATAGGTTTCCTTTAAACAAGGCCCGGCCTCCCCGCTGATACTTTACCTCTGCCACATTATAGACTATATGCATTACATTAATGCACACAATGTTCCTACTCCTTTCTGCACATATTCTGATTTCACATTTCTTAGTTTATATGCAAAAATTCATTCATAGCATTCTATTTCCCTGCAAACTACTGCTTTATTTATCTTATTGCTATTTAACTGTATTTTATTACGATGTAAAAAAGATTTTGTGTTTTATATTAGATTTCTTGTTTTTTATATTTTATGTATGCACCATGACATCAAGTCAAATTCCTAGTATGTGTGAACCTACAGTACCTGGCAATAAACCTGTTTCTGATTCTGATTCTGATTTCTGATTTAAATTACATTTACATTTTATTAAACACCTGAGCTTGCACAATTTTAATTTGTATTGTTGTTATTTATAAATATTTGTTTATGTCTTAAATTGCACTGTTGAGGAACCTGCGATCCAAGTTTTTCATACATTACATAATTACATCGTAGTTTTTTTATATGTTATGACAATAAACCTTTGAATCTTGAATCTATAGGTGCGATTTGCGAGATAATGTGTGATGTTTTCCCACTTTAACATGCTCAGTTTTCAGGTTTTTAGATCATGTAAAGGTAAAGGGTCCTGAGACAAGAAATAATTTGTGGAATTCTACGAACTTTATCACATTGACCAACTTTTTATTAAAGATTGGAAACTTATTTACACAAGTATATATACAGTAATTCTATATAAAGTAAACTTTAAAAATGTATGTTTTTGCAAAAGAGTTTGGGTTATACTGTAAGTCAGCATTACAATTTGGAGCTCATTCATTTGAAATAGAAAGTAAACGTCTGATCCATTGTCTTTCTCAAAGTAACATTATTGGCTATTTTCAGCAGAAATCTTTATATATATATACAAGTCGGAGTTTTGATGCCAACGAAAGAGTTAATAGAAACATTTAAGCAACCCTTTCTTTTTGTTTTGTCGCAGTGCAAGAGTATTTTTTTAAAGCAGTGCATGATGTCGCTGCTGCCGCTGGCTGAGATGGGATGAAAATGGACCCAGCAGTATGCTTTAATTTGTTTAATTATCGATCCAGCTAGCTGTAATCAGCAAGGTGCCAGGCTGAAGGCGAGACGCAGCGGATGTAACAAATGGTTCACGGCAGAGCCTAATTGCCAGGGCCAAGGACAGGCATGTAACACATTTTCCCCTATCTCAGCACATGACCATTAAAAACGAGAAATACTTACCATTAGTGCTCAACAAGTCATGCTTCATTCGTTATCTTTAGCAGACACCAGCAATACAATGCTTGTTTAGCAAATCGGTGTATATGGATTGTTTTTGAATGCTTTTGATGTGCAGAATGTAATGTTAATGATCAAGCTGAGCACTGCTCCCCACCTCCAATACAGTTAGGGACGTGCAGCTGCCACATACTGTATCTATTCAATATTCATCTACTGATCCCATGCATAAAAAAAGTGCTGCAGCACCATATGTTGAGCCATGTTTTCTCTCATTTTCACCCTATGCCTGCCACTTAGTCTGCTGTATGTCAGTCAGCTTTCACTGAGCTTTCCAAAGTGCAACCAATCCAAGTTGTTGCCAGGAACTTTGGAATATGTT